GGGGGCCTGCGGGCCGGGCCGGGGACCGCAGTGCTGGGCTGGCTGGGGGTGGTCGGCCGGGGGCCGGGCCCGGGGCCGGCACCCCAGGGCCGGGGCCAGCCTGGGCCGCGCCTCCTCCCCCCACACTCCTCCTTACCTGCTTCAGGCTTCCCGCGACTCAAATGTTCGCGGGAAGCAGGGGAGGGGGCGGAGACTTTGGGGAGGGGGCGGAGTTGGGGTGGGGGCGGGAGCGGGCCCATGGAGTGTCCTCCTTTGGGAGGCACAAAATATGGTAACCCTACTATCACAGAACAAACCGCACTGGGCCTGAATTTGTCTACCTGGCTATAAAAGTAGGGCCTTAGCCAGCACCCACTGAAATCAGTGGGAGGCCTTCTATTGACTTCAATAGGCAATGTATCATCATCAAAATCTTTTACTTGATTTGTGGTAGCACCTAGGGTCCTCAGTCACAGACCACGGCTCCACTGTGCAAGGCCTTGTACAAACACAGACCAAAAAGACAATCCATGCCCCGAGAAACTTACAATCCAAGTCATGTCTGCGGTCCCCCCACTTCTTTATTTTTAAATTATTTGTATTCTCACATAATGCAAAAATAGAGGAGGGATTTTCCTCAAACTTTCCAGTGAAAATCACCCCTTTGCTGAGACTGCATAGAAGATTTCGGTCCCTCCCGGGACATTTTGGAGACAATTATAGGCAAATGTAAAGAAGAGATTATAAAACAGAGGCAGATACAGACCAGGTGTATGAAGGTGCAACTCCAATGAAGGCCAGGGGTTCGCACCCGTTTACTTTCAATCAAGCTCCCAAATCTATATGCAGCTGTAATTCTGACTGATCTATTTCTTCCTCAGAATTTCATGAGGGAAAGTAGTTTTCAAAGCCCTGCAATGTGACAACTTGCTCCAACAGTTCAGCCAAGTTTGTATGATCAAATGTGGGGGCTGGGGAAGTGGAACAAGACACACACACACACACACACACAGAGGCATGGAAGAAATAAAGCTGAATAATGCAAGAGGCAAAAAGAAAGGGAAAGCAGGATGATAAGTGAAGCAGAATGCTAAACTAAGCCAGGAGGGAGGCAAAAAGGGCGGGGGGAGGGGAGAGTGAGAGAAAGGAATAGGGTTCCCAACTTTCTGATTGCCGAAAACCAAGCATCCTTGCCCTGCCCCTTCCCCCAAGGCCCCGCCCCTGCCCTGCCCCTACTCCGAGGCCCCACCCCTGCCCTGCCCCTTCTCCCTCTGTCGCTTGCTCCCCCCCACTCTTGCTCAGGTGCTCGTTTTCACCAGGCTGGGACAGGCCATTGGGGTGCAGAAGTGGGTGAGGGCTCCAGCTGGGAGTGCAGGCTCTGGGATGTGGCCGGGGATGAGGGGTTTGGGCTGCAGGACGGGGCTCCGGGGTTCAGAGTGTGGGAGGAGGTGCGAGCTATGGGAGGGAGTTTGTGTGTGAGAGTTCTGAGCTGGGGCAGGGGGTTGGGGCGCGGGAGGGGGTGAGGGATGCAGGCTCCGGGCAGCGCTTATTGCAGGCGGCTCCCGGAAGCAGCCACTATGTCCAGCTCCTAGGCGGAGGTGTGGCCATGGGGTCTCCATGTGCTACCCCCGTACTCAGATGCTGCCCTCGCAGCTCTCATTGGCAGTGGTTCCTGGCCAATGGGAGCTGCAGAGCCAGCACCTGGAGCTGGGGCAGTGTGCAGAGCTCCCATGGCTGCCCCCCAGCTGGAGGGACATGTTGCTGTTTCCAGGAGCCATGCAGAACCGGGTAGGGATGGGAACCTGCCTGTCCTGCTGCGCGACCGACCGGACATTTAACGGCCTGGTTGGCGGTGCTGACTGGAGCCACCAGGATCCCTTTTCGACCGGGGGTGTTCCAGTCAAAAACCGGACACCTGGTAACCCTAGAAAGGAGGGTGAATGGCAGAAAGAGTATAATGTGACAAAGGAGCCGGCAAGCCATGTGGAATGATTCAACAGAGAGAGGAGCAGCAAAGAGGCCCAAGAGGTGGGGAGACCAAGAGAGACAGATAGAAGATAATGCGCAATAAGTTGGAGAACAGGCCAAGAATACCTGAATAGTCTGAAGACAAAACAAAGTCAGGGGCTGGCAAGAGAATGTAAAGGTGCCACAGGCAAGCCTGCATAGCAGGATAACGCGCTGTCGCACAAGGGCTCAGCACTGGAGAATGAGAGGCAAGTTATCCTCAGACTGACAGGCAAAGGGATCCCTGGCTCAGCGTCCCTCGGTGCTTAAAATTGTGGGGGGAGGGTTGCAAGGGGTCACACACAGACCTGGCAAAAAACAGAATTTTAAAAAACAAGATGGGTCATTGAGGGGAACTCTTTACAGTCTTACCAAAGTTGCTGCCCCCAGATTATCTCTCTCTCTCTCTCTCTCACACACACACACACACACACACACACACACACACTTTTTTTCAGGCCACTTTAAGCACTAGTATCCCTCTGAACTGGGCCTCATCAGACAGGGCACCTCTTATTTTTAACCCAGATTTACCCCCGTCCATGCTGATCTCACAATATCTTGCTTACATTACTGTAAAACAGTGGCACCAGAAATGCAGCTGTCACTGAGGCAACATTATTGTTAGACCTGGTCCAAAATTAAAATAAAGAAAAACATTTTAAAGTTGTTTTTATTTTGCCAGGATCAAAATGGATTCATTTTAATTTTTGTGGGGTTTTTTGTTTGTTTATCAAGATGGTTATCAAAACGTTGATAGAAGCTTTTTATTTATCAACAATTTAGGTTTCAGCAAATGGAATGTGCCACTGCACATTTCAACAAAAAATGCAATTCAAATTTCAGTTTAAAAAACCCCACAAACGTTTTAGCAAAAAGTTAAATGGTGTCAGTAATGGTGACATTTTTTTTGCAAAAAAATGTGGTTTAAAAAGTCAGCCATTTTACAAGGAAAATAAGTTCTTACTTGAAATCTTTTGGCCGGTTCTAATGATTACTTGTGCAAGATAAGTGACCCTCCCTTTCCTGCAAACGCCGCGCACGATTGTGTGTGTGTGTACACGTCCTTCATTTTGAGCTTTTGTCCCATGTTGTGCAGTTAAGGGCCAGAGATTGTTGTACCTTTACTCACAGAGAATTGTACCTTACACCAGGCGTTCTCAATCTTTTTCTTTCTGAGGCCCCCCAACAGGCTATAAAAATCTCCACTGCTCACCTGTGCCACAACAACTGTTTTTTTGCATATAAAAGCCGGGGCCAGCGTTAAGGGGTAGAAGCAGGGGAATTGCTCGGGGCACCACGCCACTGGGGGCACTGTGAAGCTAAGTTGCTCAGGCTTCGGTTTCAGCCCCGGGTGGTGGGGCCCGGGACCCCGGGCTGCAGTCCTGTGTGGTGGGGCTTTGGCTTTCGGCACTGGGCCCAAGTGAGTCTAACACCAGCCAGGCATGGTGGACCCCCTGAAACCTGCTTCAGCCCCTCAGGGGGCCCTGGACCTCTGGTTGAGAACCACTGAGTAGTTTCATTGCAGTTAATGGAGTGGATTATTCATGGACTAAGGCACTACTCAGTGGGCCAAGTTCTGCTCTCTGTTACACCAGTGTAAACGTAGAGTAGCGCCATTGAAATTAACGGTTTTACTCCAGATTTACGTTAATGTAACTGACAATGGAATTGGACCCAGAATGAGTAAGGATGTCACCTAATCCGGTCCTAAGAAATCCACTAGAGAGGTACAATTCAATATTATTATGACCAATCAGACTTCTTTGTTTTTCCAGTAAGTAAATAATAAGCTTCTGTTCTTACAACAATGTGGTGTTGACATAAACAGGTGCATGTTCCTGAGAAAGAGAAAATTTAAACTCTAAATTCACTAGAGTAAATAGTCCAAAACTCAACTGTCAAATCCAGAGCAATATCACTTGCTAAGACAATCTTCCCTGCACAGAACTGTACCTTATTCCACAGTTATATAAGCACTACAGAAATGCCTGTCTGAGACGGGACATGATTCACTCATGCAAAGGGGAGAAGACAATGATGGAAGCTCAAATACACTGCAAAGGAGACTTTGCAAAGTCCTGGGGAATTCTCCACTGCTCTCCAAAAAGCAACTAAAACAACTAGACCAAAGCACTGAATCAGTTTCATCCCTGGTCCAGTCCCATTGACCAGCGATTCGTTCAGCCCTTTCTGGGCGTTTTTGCAATGCGAAGACAGGCATGACTGCCCTCTCTTCCCAGTAGTGTCCAAAAATAACACTCTGGTTACCAAACAGAATTGATCCAATCTGCCTTTTAGAACTCAACCCTGGGAATAGTGCCTACATCCTAGGCAGTAATTACTCATCATAGAAAATATTATAATTTCAATATAGGCGGAAACAGCCAGATCAGTATCCGCTACCATAGTGATGATGATGGACTGGGGAAGGCTGCAGTCTGGTCTGTACTAACCCAGCGGGCCAAGCTGATGACATCTCATTTTATAAAGGAATTAAGGTACTGGGAGAGACAGCAGTTCAGCTCGACTGGGTCCTGTGGGCCGGGTTGGTGATCATCGGGTAATTCAGACAGAGAGATATGTTTTATTCCCCACTGAGGCGGTTAATGATGATCACGTTTATTGGATTCTATCAATGAATGCAATTAAAGCGCCAGATGCAGACTTTTCTTTTTTTCCCCCTGGTGTTTTTGGAAGAGGGGAAGGTAAGAAAGGGGCAGTTTGCTCCGGCAAGGGGGTCTGGGAGTAAGAGCTTGCGGGACTGATCTCCTGGTACCCAACAGGTTATCACTGCGTGGGGTGGGCTCTACTATTTCCAGACAAGTTTAGGGAAGGGCATGTTGGGGAGGAAAGAAAAGGGAAGTATAAAATAACGTATCAAAAATAGACTAAGCGGAAACAGCCCCGCCCCCCCAAACCTCTGCTCAGATCCCTGCTTGGGAGCAGTTCCAGAGCTTTCACTTACTTTCTTTGAAACCGCACAACAGGGTCATCCAGCAGGTCAGTGAAATCCAGCTTCCTCCCTTTTTCTATGACATCGCGATGCTTGCGGACAAAGAGCCAGCCGATGTGGGAGAAGAAGAAGCCACGACATGCATTGTGGGGGTCAGCATCCGTCTCCGAGTACTTGTGATGCACCCGGTGGTCTCGACACCACTCAAAAAGGTCATTCTGTGGAGACAGCCAGGGAGGGGTGAGAGATACAGACTTGACATAATGACTTTGGTAACACCTTATCTCACCCCCTCCACCCTCCAACCACACCCTAATATATTTGAACCGCAGAAATGATTCTCTGAATTGGCTAAGAAAAATAAATCACGTCAGATTAAATCAGGGATTGAAACCACTAGGGGAAATGTGTGTTTATATACACAGAGGGTTGGCACTCGTATAGCCAGACCCTGCTGTTTCCTAGAATCATAAAAGATTAGGGTTGGAAGAGACCTCAGGAGGTCATCTAGTCCAACCCCCTACTCAAAGCGGGACCAACCCCAACTAAATCATCCCAGCCAGGGCTTTGTCAAGCTGGGCCTTAAAAACCTCTAAGGATGGAGATTCCACCACCTCCCTAGGTAATCCATTCCAGTGCTTCACCACCCTCCTAGTGAAATAGTTTTTCCTAATATCTAACCTAGACCTCCCCCACTGCAACTTGAGACCATTGCTTCTTGTTCTGTCATCTGCCATCACTGAGAACAGCCAAGCTAAATCCTCTTCGGAATCCCCCTTCAGGTAGTTGAAGGCTGCTATCAAATTCCCCCTCACTCTTCTCTTCTGCAGACTAAATAAGCCCAGTTCCCTCAGCCTCTCCTCATAAGTCATGTGCCTGAGCCCCCTAATAATTTTTGTTGCCCTCTGCTGGGCTCTCTCCAAATGTGTCCACATCCTTTCTGTAGTGGGGGGCCCAAAACTGGACGCAGTACTCCAGATGTGGCCTTGCCAATCCCAAATAGAGGGGAATAATCACTTCCCTCAATCTGTTGGCAATGCTCCTACTAATACAGCCCAATATGCCATTAACCTTCTTGGCAACTAGGGCACACTGCTGACTCATATCCAGCTTCTCGTCCACTGTAATCCCTAGGTCCTTTTCTGCAGAACTGCCGCTTAGCCAGTTGGTCCCCAGCCTGTAGCAGTGCATGGGATTCTTCCGTCCTAAGTGCAGGACTCTGCACTTGTCCTTGTTGAACCTCATCAGATTTCTTTTGGCTCAATCCTCCAATTTGTCTAGGTCACTCTGGACCCTATGCCTACCCTCCAGCATATCTACCTCTCCTCCCATGCTTAGTGTCATCCACGAACTTGCTGAGGGTACAGTCCATCCCATCATCCAGATCATTAATGAAGATGTTGAACAAAACCAGGACCAACCCCTGGAGCACTCCACTTGATACCGGCTGCCAACTAGACATCGAGCCGTTGATCACTACCCATTGAGCCCGACGATCTAGCCAGCTTTCTATCCACCTTATAGTCCATTCATCCAATCCATACTTTTGCAACTTGCTGGCAATAATACTGTGGGAGACCATATCAAAAGCGTTGCTAAAGTCAAGATCTTCAAGATATATCATCACGTCCACCACTTTCCCCATATCCACAGAACCAATTATCTCATCATAGAAGACAATCAGGTTGGTTAGGCATGACTTGCCCTTGGTGAATCCATGTTGACTGTTCCTGATCACCTTCCTCTCCTCCAAGTGCTTCAAAATGGATTCCTTGAGGACCTGATCCATGATTTTTCCAGGGACTGAGGTGAGGCTGACTGGTGTGTAGTTCCCCGGATCCTCCTCCTTCCCTTTTTTAAAGATGGGCACTATATTTGCCTTTTTCCAATCATCCGGGACCTTCCCTGATTACCACGAGTTTTCAAAGATAATGGCCAATGGCTCTGCAATCACATCCGCCAACTTCCTCAGCACCCTCAGATGCATTAGACCCAGAGCCAGGGACTTGTGCATGTCCAGCTTTTCTAAATAGTGGTGAAAGAACAGGTTAAGGACTGAGCTTCTCACCTCCTCCCCATGCTGTGCTGCCCAGTGCAGCAGTCTGGGCGCTGACCTTGTTTGTGAAGACCAAGGCAAAAAAAGCATTGAGTACTTCAGCTTTTTCCACATCACCTGTCACTAGGGTCCCTCCCCCATTCAGTAAGGGTCCCACACTTTCCCTGACCACCTTCTTGTTGCTAACATATTTGTAGAAACCCTTCTTGTTACCCTTCACATCCCTTGCTAGCTGCAACTCCAATTGTGCTTTTGCCTTCCTGATTACACCCATGCATGCTTGAGCAATATTTTTATACTCCTCCCTAATCATCTGTCCAAGTTTCCACTTCTTGTAAGCTTCCTTTTTGTGTTTAAGCTCACTGAAGATTTCTCTGTTAAGCCAAGCTGGTCGCCTGCCATATTTGCTATTCTTTCTGCACATCGGGATGGTTTGTTCCTGCCTCAATAAAAAAAAAAGCCTTGGTAAAGGCTTTTTAAAAATACAGCCAGCTCTCCTGGACTCCTTTCCCCCTCATATTAGCCTCCCAGGGGATTCTGTCCATCTGTTCCCTGAGGGAGTCAGTCTGCTTTTCTGAAGTCCAGGCTCCATATTCTGCTGCTTTCCTTTCTTCCTTTTGTCAGGATCCTGAACTCAACCATCTCATGGTCACTGCTGCCCAGGTTGCCACCCACTTCTACTTCCCCTACCAATTCTTTCCAATTTGTGAGCAGCAGGTCAAGAGAAGCACAGCCCCTAGTTGGTTCCTCCAGCACTTGCACCAGGACGTTGTCCCCAACACTCTCCAAAAACTTCCTGGATTGTCTGTGCACTGCTGTATTGCTCTCCCAGCAGATGTCAGGGTGATAGAAGTCCCCCGTGAGAACCAGGACCTGTGATCTGGAAGTTTCTGTTAGTTGTCTGAAGAAAGCCTCGTCTACCTGCTCCACCTGGTCTGGTGGTCTATAGCAGTCGCCCATCACGACTTCACCCTCGTTGTTCTCGCCTCGAAACTTAACCCAAAGACTCTCAACAGGCTTTACTCCAGTTTCATACTGGAGCTCTGAGCAATCATACTGCTCCCTTACATACAGTGCAACTCCTCCACCTTTTCTCCCCCCGCCTGTCCTTCCTGAACAGTTTATACCCATCCATGACAGTGCTCCACTCATATGAGCTACCCCACCAAGTCTCTGTTATTCCAATCACCTCATAGTTCCTTGACTGTGCCAGGACTTCCAATTCTTCCTGCTTGTTTCCCAGACTTCTTGCGTTCATGTACAGGCACCTAACATAACTAGCCGATTGCCCTGGTTTCTTAGTATGAATCAGGAGGCCTCCCCTGTTGCACCCTCCTCCTTGTGTTTCCTCCCGGTATCCCACTTCCCCACTTACCTCTGGGCTTAGGTCACCATCCCCAGCGAACCTAGTTTAAAGCCTTCCTCACTAGGTTAGCAAGTTTCCTTACCCAGAGGAACCAGCTCTGCAGTGGAAAGGAGGTGACCCTGCAGAAAGGATTTTACGACTGCATTCCTGGACCACCGTGGAGCTCAAGGGGTCCATTTCTCTTTCACCCTTGATATAAAATTGGCCGAAACCACAAAATTCAGAGATGGATTCAGCCTCTCCTAAAGTTGCTGGACTCCAGAGAGTTTTCATAGAGCCCATTATAGAGATGGGGCTTGTTGTGAAGTGTAGATCTGGATTCAAGCTTCCCCAATGGTTGGCTTATTCCAATTTGGGGGGTTGATTCAGGCCCATCTCCAATCCTAGTAAAAAGGACACCAAGGAATTTGTTCAGTGTCAGAAAATAACCACCCATAGTGGCTGGTGCATCAAACGTATCCAGATAAAGGCAACAGAGACACTGGTGGTGCTGAAAGCCAGACAGTGTCCATCTTACTGAGTTGAATGAGACACTCAACAAATCTGCCCTAATCTTGTCCTTCTTAGTGATTTCCAATAAGCCATACTAGAAAGTCACAACTGCTGCAGGCCCACAATAATACATCTCTTTCATCATGGATATTTTTCTTTCCCAGGATGCAGATTCACTGCCCTAGGAAGAAACGAGTGTTTGCAAGACCCAGAGCTGAAAGAAATCCGATTCACCTCCACCGTGGTTACTGCAGACCAGTGGCCTAACTGGAGTTCATATCCATGAGAGAGCTCAGAGGATATTTTTTGAAGTTGTTTTTTCCTGCAGGTCTCTAAGTCAGCAACATCTGGCCTGGAAACAGGTAACTCTCACTCTAAAAAACCATACTGCTGTTCTACTGCTGGAGGAGATGCAGTTGGGAGGATGGCTTATTGCCGAGTTCTGGTTTAGTTTGCTTTGCAATAGAGACAATGTCACTGTACTGTCCACAAACCAAACGATGGTACCTATTCATTACCATCCCACACATTATCCACTGCCTACAGCTCATCGTCATCAACTTCTCTAGGGACGAACGCAGCACAGAAAATGGGTCAGATCTTTTGAGGTGCCAACTACCTTCTTCTCTCATTGAACTTATCAGTTCAGCACCCTACAAGAGTTGACCCAATATGTGACAACGGGCCAAAAAGACCTGGGAGCAGGAACAAACAGCAGTAGCCGATCCCTAGGCCAAAACAAAGCTTCAACAGAATTTTAAACTTCTTAGCTACCCATAGCTTCAGCACCAACAAAAAACTGCCCACAGATATGCTGGAAGATTAAGGCTCAGAAAAGCCAAAGATGATTTTCACTCACTGGACTTTTGTCACTAGTTTTATTTTTATCTTGAGGTCTTTGTGAGAGTGACTTGGGAAGTCAGCTGTAATGATGGTTGTTGGAGGGAGAAGGTAGGAAGTGTACCTGATTTAGGTATTAGAGTGCCTTTGTTATAGGATCTGGTTCCTTCATGTGCAAATGGGCTGGGACAAAAACCTTAGACCCAAAACTCCCCTGAACATTGGATCTCAGGTCAGGATGCAAAATTACAGCTCAGGCTCACATCTGCTCAAGCTGTCATGAGATATGAAGGTCAGTTCAAAGTCTGATGGCAAAGAATGGCTGTTAACAAGGTTACCTGTCCCATGGTCAAGCAAGAATTCTAGAGCCACAGTTTTCAAGAGTGGGTATTTAAAGTGAGGCACTTGAAGGGACTGAAATACCATAAGTGGTCTGATTTTCAGTGGTCTTGAGCATCCATTGT